ATTATACATATTACAAAAATCCTATGTAAAATTCCAAATCGCTAAAATTTGTGTCGTAAACTACAGAAGACGCTGAGCAAGTGTAAAGCGGCATATATTTACCTATTTTCATTTTTTGGAAAGTAAACAAGGCGTGGGAAATTCCGTCACGCGTAGCCATAACATGTGAGTGCGCCAATCTCTTTTCAAGTGATCGTATTAGGGGATTATATAGAACTTTTTGGGGTGATTGGTATACTAAAAAATTTTGGAAAACAGTCGGCAAGTTTATTTTAGGTAAAATTTTTTGGCGTTTAGTGCTTATTAATTAGTTTCAAAGTTTATTGGTAAACTTTCCTTCTTAGGAAAAAAGAATCCAACCTTAGCCTGAATTATTTTTCTTGACCAAAATTATGGGAAGAAAATCTTTTCCGGCCATTGGAATGATGAGAGGTAATTAAATGTCAAAATTGCCCTCTAAATTTTAGCATTTAGTGCAGGGAATGATATAAATATCCTTATAACTTTCTCGAAAAACTCCTATAACCAATTATATAGTATAATATAATTAATTATAGTTATGTAATAACTAATTAATAAAAGGATAAAAACTCTTCTTAAACTCCTAAACTTATTTTAAAATAACATTTAAACCCTTAAATTAAAAAATGGAATAGATAAACCCTTCAACTTCGTTAACGATGCAAATAAACTCTTTTCACAAATGAGTCAAATGGTATTTCATGTTTAATATCACCTTGAAAACATGAACACTCATGAATGAGAAGGGTTTTTTTACATCATTAGTAGAGTTAGAGGGCTTATTTACTTTATTTTTAATTTAAGAGCTTAAATGTTATTTTAAGATAAATTTGAGGGTTTAAGAAGAGTTTTTGCCTAATAAAAGAGTAAGTGACTGATTTATTTTATTTTATTTTTTTGTTATAGGAGACTTCGTTATAAAAAACGGTTTTATATGTAAAAAACGGTTTTATATTATTTTGTAACCTATTATGCTTTAGATTGTAATCAATTATATTTTGTTTTGTAACCAATTATATTTTACATTGTAAGCAGATTATAAGCATATTTGGTATAGTGGTTAAAATTTAATAAATAATGAGTAATAGGTAGCATATAATGGTAGCAGTTAGCAGTTAACAGATAGTAGGTAATAGATA